AAGGAAGATGGCAAGTAGGCTGAATCACAGTTCAGGTTTGTTTACTGGAATGCTTGGTGCCACTTATAGGGAATAAGCAGATTTACCTCCCTGTAAACACACAGCAGGAAATCATAATGGAATGAGTGACAAGAGGAAAGGAGATACAGGAAGCAGGCTGCCTACTGGACCATGATTTGACCTCAGAGACCAGGGAGGAATTTACCTTACAAACATGTGCAGCATGTGCCTGCAATTCCAGCACTTAGGAGGCTAAGGCAGAAAGATCCTGATCTTAAGGCCAGCAATAACCCCCTCCAAACAAACACAGGCTGGGGATGTGGCTTAGTGGCAGAATGCTAGCCTAGCATGTACCAGGTCTGGGGTCAACCCCCCCGGAAAACATTCAAAAACAGGGAATAAGCTTAAGAACCAACAACAAAGTTCAATAGTAAAGGGAACTTGTCACCAAACCCAACCACCTCACTGTGATCTGCACCCTAACATCCACTCTCAACAAAATGTTAAGAAACATATAGTGCACAGGTGTATATTCAGACAAAACCCCATAACCATAAGAGAAAAGAAAACAGAAGAAAAAAAAAATCACAGCAATAATACTCTCACATTGAGTTGAGGATAGGAATGGCAAGCACAGAAAGACCAACAGTGACTCTACACAGTAAGAGCAGGGGACACAGAATGAGCCTGGCAGGAAAACACAAACAAGCCCAATGTCTGCTGTCCTTGTCTGAACATGTTCCATCCAGTCCTTGACCCACTTTGGGCTGGTACCCAGCTTGCTTACCTTGTGCATGACGATCTTCCGCTGACCTGGCTCGGCCACATCGATCATCTTCTGGACCACATAGTTGGCATACTGATCCTTCATCATGGTGTATAAGGCACTGTGGGGACCGTCGTTCATGGTGCATACCTCATCAATGAGCACAGCACGCTCTGTACGTGAGGCGTGAGTGACACACTTCTCCACAACATTGCTGTTATGAGACAAATTGAGAAGAACAATCAGAAAACATTCCTTCTTTGGCTACATTTGTCAGGACAGACATTGAGGAGAGATGGCACACATGAGGAACTCATTTCCCTAGGGTCTGGCTCTGTAAGATCAATGTTTTGATCAGAAACACTGGGGTATCCAGCAGTGAGTCATCTGAGCCCCAGTGTCCCAGGAAAGGGGCCCTGACCTGCCGACCCGAGATAGTAATGAGCTTGAGAAGCCAACAACAGACTGGCACACAAGGTTCAGCACAGAGCTTTGTAATAGCTCAGCTGGCTCACAATTACTATTTCAACACAAACCAAGATCTAGGATGATGCCCTTGCACTGGTGAAGCTCAGGCTCGGCCATCACAGCTTATCACTGCGTATCACAGCTTCTGTGCACAACAGACACTGGGACCAGGCTCAGTGAAGGAACTTCAAGTTGGCCCACAGCACTGTCGGCGGCTCAGAAGCACGGAGGGCCCTGTGCTGTGTTGGCACTCGTGACCACCTCGCATACCTCATCTGGGAAAGCAGCAAAGGAGAGCTTCCACAAAGTCAGTTCTCTACCATTAAATGCCTTGCTGCCAGACTGATGGCTAGTCACCAAGTAGAGCGATTCCTCATATTGACTGCCTGCCCTTAGTGGATGCCATCATGGACTCTCACCTCAGCTCCATGGGCACAAAGCTGTGCAAGTCAACAATAGAGTGTGCTATGTGGACCACTGTCACTGAGCCCAATACCCAGAGGAAGTACTGAGTTGGCCAGAACTCAGGCTTTGCAAAGGAGCAAAGTGCTGGGTCCCAAACCCTCAAGAAGAAAAGCCTAAAAAGAAGCTACACCTACCTAAACCATAAACTCAAGAAGCACAATTCCAAAGGTGACTCCTGCAGGCACATGACCTGGCAGCCTCTCTAGACTAAGTCATAAATAAGTGCTTTGATTAAGTTACTCCATCTAAGCTCCACATGGGTACCATGGAAGATATGTATGAACACACACACACACACACACACACACACACACACACACATACACACACACTTCTAAAAAATAGGCTTTTAAACACACTTCTAAAAAATAGGTTTAAAAAGATTTCCGTAGCCGGGCGGTGGTGGCACATGCCTTTAATCCCAGCACTTGGGAGGCAGAGGCAGGTGGATTTCTGAGTTCGAGGCCAGCCTGGTCTACAGAGTGAGTTCCAGGACAGCCAGGACTACACAGAGAAACCCTGTCTCGAAAAACCAAAAAAAAAAAAAAAGATTTTCTTAATTAAAAGTGAGTATTAATAAATATCAATGTAAGAACTGACAACCATGAGTCATACTATCTGTCCAACCAATCCCATAAAAGCTCGAGGGAAGAAAATACTGGAAAACTAAGCAGTATTGTGTGCTTGCTATGAGCAGTGAGAAAGAGTGAGTCTGCTCAGACAACTACAGAGCTAAGACACGGGAGGCCATGATTTCCCAAGCCTGCAACTCTGAAGCTGAGAAGCAGAGGCCTGGACAGGTCTGACAATCAGCCCCACTCAGCCAAGAGGAAGGTAAGTGGAGAACACCTCAAAATGCCTACCCCTAAGGGAGGAAACAAACAGGGGCCAAAGGGCAATATGTCAGAAACAGCCCTTAGACTTCCATGGCAACTGCAAAGGAGTAGAAAGAGCACTTATCATACTACAGGACTTTTACAGACAATACTTAAGAAAAACAAAACAAAAAATCCAACATTTAAGAGAGTTCGATACCCAGAAGTTGTAAGGTGGAAAAAGAGAACCAGCTCCCCCAGGTTGTCCTCTAGCTCCCACACATACACAGTGCAGTGCACACAGACACACATAAGCAACAAGTGAATGTAAGAACTTAGGGGAAAGATTCTGTAGCTGACGTGCTGCCCAATCCTTGCTCCCCAGAGCACACACCTTGCAAACTTGTGCTGACTCAATACAAGTACATTGCCTCGGATCTCTGCTACAATTTTGCTTTTATCCTCAGGACGACCATGCTCCAGTACATGTTGGATTACATAATTTCCATACTGATCCTATTTGAGAAGCAAAAAAAAAAAAAAAGAAAAAAAACAGGAAAAAAAAAGAAAATATACATAAAAAACAGTTCTGTGGATTACTAGGCCCTCCATCTAATTCCTGTCCCCACTCTTGGGAGGCTGAGGGGCGGGGTAATGACAGAACAGCACTGAAGCACTGAAGTGCATCTGAATGGGAAGGAACCTGCAAGGAATTTTTAAATAGATAGGTAGTAACAATTTTTCTCTCTCATTACAAAACAAGAACACACTGTTACAAGACAGCAGACGATTTTTCTTTATCTATTTATGGACCTACTTTCTAGCTGGGCTTTTTACAAATTACTAACTACAAAAAAGTAGGTCTATAATTACTTTAGAATCAATCAGGAAAGAAATGTTTGGGGAATAAAGAAATGTTTTCCTCTAATAGAAAGTGCATAAGTTTTGCTCGAATCTTTCTAACACTCATGGTTGTTTATTATTGTATTAGTAGAAGCAAATACCAAAAGAAGAATCAACCACCAGCACATTTGGTTTGTATATCAATGGAGCGGAGACCTTCAACCAACTCACGGGCCATGATTTTAAATCATTGTCTATTTTCATGGAACACACAAAGATCTGAAGGGCACTGATGACATGCTAACACTTTCTGGTAATAAACACACACTGCAGACCTACAGGAGTCCACAAAGGTCTCAGCTCCTCCCCTGGCAACAGCAGTACCTGTACGAGCTGCTCCGTGTGCTGGTGAAGCTCCTCGAGGATCGGGAGAGTCTGGTCAGGGAGACAGTGCTCTAGGATCCTCTGGATCACCCTGCAGCCGTAAGGGTGCGTAGACAAAGCAAACACCTGGAGCAGACAGATCAAGACAATCACTTCAGTGTGGTCACATCATTACCCCTCCCCTCTTGCTTCACAAATAACCTTAACTCACTTATGTTGTTTAGAAATTCATGTAAGTGTGTAAAGTAGAACTTTTCCTAGAAGCCTAAAATGAAATGGAAATGAGTCAAGGTGATACAAACTCTTCAGATGGTAGAGGCAGGTGGACCTCTGAGTTCCACAGGAGCCTGTTCTAGAGTTCCAGGACAGTCAGAGTTAAACACAGATAAATTGTCTCAAAAAACAAAACAAAAAAACTCAAAACAAACAAACAAACAAACAAAACACACACACACAAAAATAAAGAATCGAAAGTGTCAACCAATTGCCCTTCCAAAAGTCAGGATGAAAAACAGGAGGAGGAGGAGAAACTGGACATGAGGCTAGTACCTTTAACCGCACCCCTCTAGAGGCAGAGACGGGATCTGCTCCAGGGCAGGCAGCCAGGGTAGCAAAACTAAACAAAAAGGTTCCAGGAGGAGCTCGCTCACTGGTGGAGTGCTCACCCAGTATCTAGGCACACACAAAGAAGCCCACATTCCAGGAGTGGTGACTAAATCTAAATGCTTCCATATAAACAGACAGCTGCACAAAAGGCTGGCTGGGGTGCTCTTGTTTCAGAACAATAAGAAAGTGCACAAGCATTTAATTGTCCTGTTTTGACTTGACTTTTATCGTACTAGGGATTGAACTAAGGCTTCTTTCTTATGCTAGGCAAGTACCCTACCAATGAGCTGCATCCCCAGCCTACACCCCCAGGGTCCTGATTCTGACTTTTCCTAGCTGTATGGAAGTACTAATGAGTACAAGACTTAATGTCTTTAATCCCAGAACTCAGAAAACCAGGAAAGGAGTATCATGAGATTCAAGGCCAGCCAAGTCTACATAGTGAGAGCCTGCCTCAGAACACCAAAGGGGGATAAAGATGCCAATTCCTACTAGCAGCAGCAGCAGCAGCAGCAGCAGTAGCACTGCACTGCACTGCACTGCACTGCACTGCACTGAGGAGTGCTTGCCTTCCTCAAGTGTCAGTGGACCCAGCACTCTCATCTCACTAGCTGCATGACCCTAGAGTTCAACCTGCTCCTTGCAATCAGCATTGCAAAGACACTGCCTGCTCATAGTCTACAACAGCTTGTAGTAGGTACAACAGTCTGATGTAGTTTATATTTTAATGCAGAAACTGGTTCCTCAAGATGTGGATGACCCCAAGGAGCAGACGACACTCACACGTACTCAAGCGATGTCGTGTGAACTTTCTCTCCAATTTAACTGGTCAATGAAAGGCTAGAGCCAGTGATTGGGCAGTGGGGGGAATAAGGTGGGAGTGGAGGTTCCAGAGGGGGCTGGAAGGAGAGAGAGAGAGGAGGAAGACTGAGGAGAAGAAAACCACCATGGACCAGAATCCCCTGGCCAAGAGAGACAGTTAAGTAGCGGGGCTTGACAGCTGGGGCGCAAGCTGGAACAGTCCTAGATCTGCCTGATTAGGCATCTGGCTTATAAAAACACATCTGGACTGCATGTGTTTTATATGGACTTATTAGGAACATAAAATTTCCAACAATAGCAGTGGATTTCACTCACCACCGTGTTCCCAAAACCCACTTCTAAAACTAAGGCTGTCTCCAGAGTTCCCTGTCTCGAATGTCTCTACCCAGCATGATGCTGGCAGCATGTGACATTTTTAAACCTAGACAGTGGCTTACAGACATCTACACTGCATCTTTATGATTTTTAATTTTTTTTTTTTTACCTCAGTGTGTCTACTGCTATTTAAAACATGCAAAGTAGTTCCTTCACCAGATACAATTGTTAGCCAAGTGCTAGATCAAAGTAGTACAAATACTGAACTTTAAGATGGTCAATATTGTTAATTTCCAAAGTGGCTGAAGCACATTTCTGAAGCATACTGCAGTGCATGGTGGGAACTGCCTGTTTCTGGGCCTTGTTTTCACTTTCCTCCTAACTAATGGACTCTTCATTAGTTTTCCATATCAACTGGCAATCTGGGCTTCTGTAAATGTGCATTCTTCTTTCCTCCATTTCTCCCCACCACATATTGTTTTCCTAGACTGTAGTAGTTCTTTATTTCTATAACCTAGCTGCCAGCTCTTGCAGTTCCAGCAGGGTGGCATTCAAGCCCTGGCTGGGTGTCGCAGAGTGGCTGCAGCTACAGGCCATGTCTCAACACTCCCTCAAAAAAAAAAAAAACAAAAAAAAAAAAAAAAAAAAAAAAAAAAAAAAAAAAAAAAAAAAAAAA